AAACATACAAAATTAAATGAATAAATCACATATAAAATTAATACATCTGAACAGAATTGAGTAGAAAACGTGCAACTTTAACTTAAATTAATAACATTTTATCAGGTAAGTTAGTTAGTTAGGCGGATATATCAAACTGAGGTTTAACCCTTAGATGCATGAGTGGATCTTTTTTGACCCGGTGAGGTGGTTTTCTTGAAGTATCTTTGTAATTACATTTTTTTATAATTTCATATTCCAGCTATTCCTCAAAAAACATGTTTTGGATATCATGCCATTCACATTTTAAATTTAAATTTTAAGAAATTGTAGTTTTTGTATTACTACCCCAAGCTTCCATAAGTGGGTCAAAAATGACCCACATGCATTTCCTATGGGATCCTATGGGAACCTTTGATTCTTATCACCTGTTGCTGTCAGGAATACATTCACTGTAGACCACACAGACGACATCACAAGTGACACCTCTCAGGAAGATTGTTTTACACAGCAAGCTCTGATACCTGTCAGTATAATAATAATAATAATAATAATAATAATAATAATAATAATAATAATAATAATAATAATAATAATAATAATAATAATAATACATTATATTTTTATAGGGCTTTTCAAGGACTCAAAATCGCTTTACAATATAAGGGAAGGTTAGGGTGGGGGGTATAGGACTATCAAACTTGATCAACTTAAAAGCCGATAAGACTATTGGCCAAAACCAAGTCGTATTTATCTTTTAATGAATTAGAATGGGTTATTAACGCCTTTGTAACCTCAAGACTGGACTATTGCAACGCTCTGTATGTGGGTATGGACCAGGCCTCAATTAAACACCTGCAGCTAGTCCAAAACGCAGCTGCACGTCTTCTGACTGGCCACAAAAAGCGTGACCACATCACCCCAATTCTGGCCTCACTACACTGGCTTCCAGTTCGGTTCAGAATTGATTTTAAAATCCTTTTATTTGTTTTCAAAGCACTAAATGGGATGGCTCCGGCCTATATAGCTGAACTCCTCCAGCGCTACACCCCAGCCAGAGCTTTAAGGTCGGCAGACCAGCTGTTGCTGATAGTGCCCAAGACCAGGCTTAAAACCCGAGGGCACCGAGCCTTCACAGCAGCTGGCCTGAGGCTCTGGAACACTCTGCCCCTCCATGTGAGGTCGGCCCAGACCCTAGGGGTTTTTAAATCTACACTAAAAACACACTTCTTCTCTCTGGCCTTCTAGTCAGAGCGGAGCACGACTCCTGACTTTTCCTTGTGTTTTTTTTAATTTTTTTATATATATCTGTTGTAATTTATTGTCTTTTATTGTGATTGTAGTAATGTGTTTTTATTACATGTACAGCACTTTGGCTCGACCAAAAATCGCTTTTAAATGTGTTTTATAAATAAAACTTGATTTGATTTGATTTGATTTGATTTGATCAACCGGCATGGATTGATGGGTCTATGATGAGTAGACAAGAGGAGAAGAGATGAGTTTTGAAAAGGGACTGGAATACTGTGAGGGTCTCAGAATAGTGGATATCTTTGCATCAATATGTTCAAAACGTTGTTTTTCAAAATGTAAAAGAAAAGTCTAAAATTATAAATTGTGAAAAATTAAATATAAAATATTTCTAGTGTGAACCAAAATATAATACTAAATATTATACAAGTGATTTTTTTTCTTAACCAAAATGACATAATAACACATATTATTCCAATACAGGTCCTTTTTGACCCACTTATGGAAGAGTGTAGGGTCCAGTCACTCGTGCATCTGGGGTTGAAAACTGGTTTGTTTCTTGCTTTAATTTCACTATTTTCTCTATACTGTATATCCATCTTTCTTTCTTTATATGTTTCTATTGTATTCCTTTTACTCTGTTTATGTACCTATGTTAATGTTATCATGCACCCTGATGTTGTCAAGGTTGTGTGTGTACATCAAGTTTGATGTACATATATATTTTCTTGAAAAGAAATCTAAAATATATATATAAATAAACATATCAGGGGTAGGCTAGTCACTCAGAATAGAATAAAAATAAGCATAGATTTAGGTTTACTCAATGCAATGCTCCAAATGATTTAATTTATGATTGGAGTTTGGCTTATAGACTAATATTACCCAGCATACATCTGACTGCCATAACAATAGAATACAATACAATGGCTTTGGTCCAGAGTTTATCCAAATGTGTTTACGGTTTGAGTTTCATTGAACAACAACAGAGTAGCACTGAAATGCCCAGTGGAGTTGTATTGCCAGGTAACCCCCGGAGTCCCAGACAGCAACCTGCAGGAGAAAAAGCTTTTCCCAGAAGCCTCTCTGTCTCTCCCAGCTCCTCCAGGCTGTGATTCTTCTCTTAAACATTGCCTGCTTCTGCTCCGGACGGACGCGTTTTTGTTGCGACACTCTTCCAGCTCTTCGGGGGTGTCCAAGCGCACTTCCTCCCCATTGCGCTTTCAAATCTTTCCCTTACTATCCCAGCTTCTTACTAACCCCCCTCCCCCACTTCCCCCGGCCCCCCTCCCCTCTACCGGGTGGTTTCGTCCGACTCTTGCGGAGAGAGAGAGCGCAGTTGTCGGCTGCAGGTCGCCGGAGAGGGACGCACCACAGAGGCTGAGGACGCAGCACTAGAACCCGATTAGGTTCCGTTTCTATTGTTTCTCTGTGTATCTCTGCCTGGCATTTGTCATCAACTTGGGGAATTACAATCATCTTCCAAGGTAAGAGGAAAACCACTTTTTTCCCCTTTCTTTTCTTTGGGAAAATAACTGAAATGACTGGTAGAAAAGCACTTTGTTAGGTGTGTTGTTGTGCACCAGTTCCCTGCTTGTGTCGAGCTTTAGATTTACAGGCGGAATGGATTAAATTCGAATTTGGATTAAAAAAAAAAATGAGCACAATAGCATGCTTAAACTGGAGTAACCTGCTTAGAAAAATAAAAAAATATCCCTCCATCAATAATGGATTGGCTAAGCTGTGTTCGCCACGTTGTGGGGTCCGTTTTTCTCTGGACCATTTTTCTATCAGAGCCAGGTTTAAGCAATGTGGCGGGTTTCTCTTTATTCTAAGCCTTTAACACTTTTGTGCCCACTTTAACTGTTTGAGGCGAGGGGTTTTGTCCGTTGATAGCATGTGTTATTCAGAGCAGTAAGCGGTTCCTTTATGCCAAGCCAGTTTTACTTTCCACTCACGTTTCATCCCAGGATCAGAGGAGCGTTTGTGGGCTGCAGGATCAGCCTGTGCAGCCACATTAGACTGTCTCAAACTTACTTTGTGCTGCACTGTATACCGATCCAGACCAATGCATGCAAACTTCAAAAATAATCTCATGGGGAAATTTAATTGACATAATCTCTCGGGAAAATGCATTGTCTAAGTGCTGTGCGTCTCGCTTGCATTGTTTTTCCTCAAATTGGCTTTTTTTCGTAGCAAGTAGCAACCTATTTGGGGTATTTTGGTGTGAAATTTACCATCTTCTTGTCCTTATCCAAACTTAGCTTGAGCATACTGTCGTCCTTCTTAAGACTGCCCATAATGACCTCATTGCTTATCAATTCCAATTAGCACATTGGCTTTTACGCGCGGAATGTGCACCCTTTACGCACATTCAGAGGGGGATTTCAATTAATGTATTCTTTCCAAATCCCAGCCAACGTTCGTGGGACTAATTCTGCATGAAAACACTTCAATTCACCTCAGAAAGTCATTATTCATGAGCCTGTCACATGGATGAATTGCTTGTCCATTTCTCCCCCGAAACATAGCCTATACAGATCTGTTGTATTTTGGATTCTGAAGAAGGATAGGGTTAGCTACCCAGAGCTGGGGATGTCACACAAAGACATACAGTGTTATAAAATGAGACAATTTCCCTCTTGCATGTGTTAAAGTTGATTATTCTGAAGTGCATTGTTGGGTTGATGTTGCATATCGACAGAGGGCAGTGTTGAGCAGCTCTGACAGCTGTGAGAACACCTTGCCAGGTGAACTTTTCTGCATATCTGCTGTATCTACACAAGAAGAGTTATGTGTCTGTGTCCTGGAGCAAAGGTGCAGCACTCATCAAGCTTTCATATATTTAAACTTAGGGGAAGATTGCTTTCGTGGAGTTTTGCTTGTGTTGCTTTTCCTTTTTTCTGTTGCTTGATTAAATGTCAAGCACTTTTTGAACAACAGGGAACAGCTCTAAGAGACATTTAGTCCAGCTGGAAATGTCCTAAGCCTAACTATCACATTAATCAAAACACATTTTCTCTTAAAAAGCTTTTTTTCTTGCACCACAGTAACCAGCACCACCACCGGGGCTTTTAGAAGCTTTTTTAAGAGCTTCAATTGTTTTAATGTGGTACATTTTATTGAGCCTCAGTGGTTCAGTGTCTTCAACAGCATCAATGAAGAGCCCTGTATTATTCATTAACACTCAAATGGCTCTCAAATGCAAATGAGAATGGCTGGTTTGGGTTTTGGGAAACATGGCAGATGACATAATGCATTTTCTGTGTGAAACCACTCTGCTTCTTTTTGTCGTGGGCAGAACATATTTATATAGCAGTCCCAAAATAATTTCATAACTCTAATTAGTGATTCAATATTCATATTAATATCTCGCTTCAGTATTATTCCTCCAGTAGAATAGTAATTCATCACAAACACAGCACACAGTCTTTTATTCACCCTGTCTGGAATTCAAATGCCCTTTTTATTTTTCTCATTCATCGAATATCTCATTCATATTTTTGATTGATATTCATATATTCTCACATGTTTCAGCGCGCCCACATGCTTGTCTTACGGATGATTAACACTTTTGTTATTTCGAGAGCTGTTTTAGTATCCTGGGTCAGTCTTTTCAAATGGAAATCAGGTTTTCTTCTTTGATGAACTTATGAGGGCTCTTGACAGGTCCTGGTGGGGGGGGGGGACCGGACCAGCAGAGCAAAAGAGATCTGAAACAAAACTGTATTGTCGCCCCCCCCCCCCCTCCAGACCCCTCTTAAAACACCTCAATGTTCACTTTCCCTTCTTTCCCTCTGCCTCTCCTCAGTGTCCTTGTAGTTACAATATGTGAAAGTGGTTTTGATTATACATGGAGATCTGTCCGTGGCATCTGATGTCGACATTAATAATTCATTTTCATTAACTAATATGATGTGGAGTAGAGGAGCCGACAGCTTCTTCATCAACATTTTAATGATGCATATTTAAACTGTGCCGTGTGGATTATTTCTGTTGGCGGATATTATTCAAGAGGGGACAAACGGATATGAAAGTTTAATGTCTGGAGAACTTGATCTCTCCCGCTCGTCCATCCGATATTACCTTTCTAAGAAAAAGGAAACAAAGCCATGTTCAATATAGTCTGACCTCCACCGCTGTGTGTGTGTGTGTGTGTGTGTGTGTGTGTGTGTGTGTGTGTGTGTGTGTGTGTGTGTGTGTGTGTGTGTGTGTGTGTGTGTGTGTGTGTGTGTGTGTGTGTGTGTGTGTGTGTGTGTGTGTGTGTGTGTGTGTGTGTGTGTGTGTGTGTGTGTGTGTGTGTGTGTGTGTGTGTGTGTGTGTGTGTGTGTGTGTGTGTGTGTGTGTGTGTGTGTGTGTAAAGAGATAACAGACAGAGACGGATAACAAATATGATTCAGTCTGGATTGAGGTCACACTCTCAGTACTGTTACCCTTCACAGGTCCATACAACTAGAACATCTGTTTTAAAGAAACCTATTCTTTCCATATCCCAGCAAACTTGTTGGACTAATTCTCCATTTCCACCCCAAACCTAGCCAACAGATCTGTATTTTTTTTGGGGTTCTGAAGATAGATGAGTGTCGAGGAGAAAGCTAACCGGAGCTGGGGATGTCACACAAATAAATAGAGTGTTAAAAAATAGGACAATTACCTTCTTGCATGTGTTAAAGTAGATTATTCTGAAGTGCATCTGACACCTTTCTAAGAGAGAGGAAACAAAGACATGTAAAATATAGTCTGATCTCCACCGCAGTGTGTATGTGTGTGTGTGTGTGTATCTGTGTGTGTGTGTGTGTGTGTGTGGGTCTATAGAGATAACAGACAGCGACGGATAACAAATGATTCATTCTGGATTAAGGTCACACTCTTCCTACAGTAACACTGAACAACTTAGGTTGAACGCAATAATATCAAGTTCAAATAGCTTCAACTTAATATTATGCTTTCCATTAACCTAATACAGTAATTTGTTGACATAATACATTTAATTAAAGTCAGTGTTTCAGTTTCTTCAGTGTGCCCTTCACATGTCTTCAGGTCCATAAAACTAGATAATCTGTTTTGAGGAAAAAATAATCCGTGTTCCCGGAGTTGACGGAGTGTTTTGTTATTTCAAGGTGCTGCTTTTCATCAACCAAAACCAAGACAGAAAGCGACAACTGGTTACAGCGTGACGTTTCTGTATCTGTCATTCAGCTGTTTGGCTTTTCATGCACGTCAAACAAGCACTCACAGGAACCAGACCTCAGTTTATGTATGCGCTGTAACACCTCATGCTCTTTTTCTCAAATCATACTTGAGAGCGGCCTCGACGAAGATGCATTTCCACGCTTAAAAAACCCCCCAAAAAGGATGCTCTGAGAACAGCTGTGAGGCAGTGAGTGGCTAGCATAAATAACATGGTTCTACCTACATTTGTATTGTTAAATGTAGATCTGAAACAAGTATTAAATCAATCCTTTGAATGATCAGTTATCATCGATGGCTTTTATGATGCACCACAGCCTGTTAAATATCTGGATGTGCTGCTTTTCTCTGTTGTATATGATTATAAATTGAATATATGTAGTTCTTTGACTGTCAATTGAACAAGCAGTGTGAAAATGGCACCAGGAACATACTTAGGCTGAACAGTTAAACGTAATTTTAAAAACCAAGAAAGGATGCTCTTATACTGGTTATATGGCAGTAAAGCAAACATGTATTTTTGATTCATAGGTGAATTGTACCTTTACCACATTTTTCTTTTTTTAAACAACTACTCAATTTCAAAACCTTTTAATACTGCCTTCTGTAATGCTTCAGAATAAACTAGTTGCGTCTCAAGATCAAATTGTTCATCCATTACACAAACCCTGTTTTAAAATAAATCACATCACTTTATTTAAAACCACTAGCTATAAAAGAAATACAAATAAGTAGACACAACCACAAACCTTGAACCTTCTCACCTTCAATAAAAGTCTTTTTTGTAACCCTGTCAAACGTATTAAAATAAGAATGTAGCGACGTGCTCCGCTGATCTTTTGCTCTCCTTTTGCCTGGTATGTGAGCGTGAAGCGGAGAGATTTTAGACTTTTAAAGTGGCCTTCTTGAGCAGGATTCACATGGTAATTAGGTCAGGGCACACTGAGGAAAAACAAAGCTGTCCACATGCAGAGATGTTTGAAGGAGAGTGGAGATGCTTGTGGCTCCACATTGAGAGGACTGCAGCCACGTTGGAGTGTCTATATGCTCGATGTTATGCAGATATAATGGCAGGTTTCTGGGCATGTGACTTGCGGTGGCAGCCCGTCTTCACCATGCTCTTTATACCCAGAACACAAAGCCCTGCTGCCTCGTCACCTGACTGTGATTATTCTGTCCTATAGCGCTGAAAGGGATGTTGCAATTTTCCGTTCACAGTCTCTGAAGCCTGATTGAGGTCCTGCGCCCCAGTGCGCCTCGTATTATTTAAAATGAAATCATTCCTCAGCTACGTGAC